GAACAGGAATTTATTTGTCACAGTTCAGGAGGCTGGAAGTCCATGGTCAAGGTGCTGGGCTATTCAGTTGCTGCTGCTGAGGAGTTTTTTCCTGGCTTGTAGATCAGTGTGAGCTCCGTGGCAGAGAGAGCAAGGAGGGTGGGGTTGTGGGGTGTTTCTTATTGGGCTCTAGTCCCATCACAAGGGGCCCACTCAAGAGCTCATCGAGCCCTAATCATCTCCCCAAGACCCCATCTCCAAGGACTGTCTCATAGGGCTCTTGGTAGAGCGTCACCTATGGAGGGGGCGTGGTGGGGTCACAATTAAGTCAATGACGCAGCCTAAAGGGCACCTTTGGGAAGGTCCCCTCCGTTCATTTAACAGGCACCTGCTCCGGGAGGTGGACAGAGCAACAGAGGCTTGTCCCTGCCTTTAGGCCGTAATCAAAACTAGACACAGAACTCGACAGAAGTGGTTCTAGCAGACAGGAGGGGAGGTACAGGCCTCGGCCAGCCAGCATAGGCTCCTCCGGGGAAGTGACATCAGAGTTGAGAGCAGTGGGGGGAAGGGGAGAGATGGAGATTCCTAGGGAAATAACTGAAGTAGAGCCCCCCACCGGCAACCCCCAAGCTGGCGCTGTGACTAGAGCACCGAGGCAGTTGTGCCCAGCTCGGGAAAGGCACGTGCTGTGGGAGAACTTCTCCAAGATGATGCTTCTGACCCAAGAGGGAGGCTTTCTGCTGGATTTAGTCCTCAGCAGAGTAGCTGGTTTGCTCTTTGTGATTGGAGAGGGTGGGAAGCCAGCCTCCCTGGGGGGCCGGGGCGGGGAGCAGAGCGGACTGGAGGGCCCAGGTCCTGGGAGTGATCTTTGCATTTTTGCTTCTCAACACCACTGCCTTCCAATGCTGTCCCTTCCTGAGAACCATGTTTGTGATTTATGAAGCTTTTTTTTTTTTTTTCTTGAGTGCAAAAATATGTCCTCAAGATAGAACATTTCATTCGCCATCCTAGGAAAGTGGAAATGACTACAGTAAAATAAAGTTGAAATCCATTCATAAGTTCTGCTCCATGTGAAATGACTTCTCCCCGGCGGAGAGCCACTGCTTAAAAGAAACTTTTGTCTATTCACTTTGCTTTAAAGCCGTCAAATCAGGTCTTCTATCCTTTCTCCTACTAATTTTGTTCTAGAATACAAAGGTCTCCTCTAAGAACATGTGCTTGTTGTTTGTGCCTTTGTAGCCTGCTAACTCTCTGGACAGGGCTGGCCACTTAGGTGGCTTGGCAGTGAAATGTATCATCTCATTGTATCTGGCGACCCCCTACTCAATAACATGGATGTGTGTGCCATTGTGTCCCATCTCTTTATTCTATTTGACTTCTCTTTTTAAGTACTGGACACTCTTTTGTCCTCAAAATTCTATGTCATCACCTCCTCGGAGTGCCTAATGCATGACTGGTACCCAGAAGAGGTCCACGACTTAGCTTGGTGACAGGTGGTGTCTCCAGGGGCTGGTTCTGTGACTGACTCCTCAGGGTTAAGGAACCCGCCTGGGCCGCCCGGTGCAGATCGGCTGTTCCAGGAGCCGCTGAGATCCTCCAGAGAGAAGAACTGGCTCTCCCATCTCTGAATCGCTGGCTCCCAGCTCACAACAGATACCTAATAAATGTTTATTTGATGATTAACATCAAATCCCAACTCATACTGTTGTGTGAAAAAAACCCATTCCTGGAAAATCAGCATTTCTAGTGATGGCTGGGACAGGCCCTGGAAGCAGGGACCCCGTCGGCAAAGGTCTTAGAACCCGGGTGACCCTCACTGCTGACCTCCACCCCGTAGGGTCCAGGTCTGGCCTTCACTCCCCCCCACCTGGGTCTCCTCGTTAGCTCCCCACAGTGTCCGGCACCTGCTGATTCACATCAAAATGAGCCGTTCCCACCTCCCTTCTGGACCCGCGTGGGCGTTCCAAGGTGGCAGCTGGCTGAGTAGAAGTGGGGTCTTGGTCTGCCCCCAGTGCCCTGCGCAGCCAGGCCCTCTCCCCACACGGCATTCGAGGTGCGGAAGCCAAGGCCTCGCCGTGCTGTGTCACTGCGTGGAGTTCCCGCCCCGCTGCAGGCCTGCCCAGCTCAGGGGCTTCCCGGCATTCCTCAAGACTTAAATCAGCACCGTGGCCTCTGCTGCCCGCCGGTGGGCTGGGGGGCATTGCCAGCGTTGCACTGCGTCACTAGTTGAAGGGGTGTCAGATAAAAAGACTGAGCCAGATCTTCCTGTCGTCTCGCGATTGCCAAGCACGGGGCCGACCAGACCAGACTTGACTCTTTAACATGCCAGGGGTGGGGGGGTGAAGACAGGCACAGAGAAGAAGGGGAAGAAAAAGCAGCGGCCTCTCTCTCCTTATTTGCTCTAACACAGAGGTGCAGTGTCTGAAAGCAGAAGAGCGGCTGCGATGGACAGGAGAGAGACGGAGGTGCAGAGGTTGGGCGTCTGGAAGGGCCGAAACGTAGGCTCCGGGGCCTGACGGTGTCCCAGGTCGCTGAGCGAGACACTTCCCCCCGGGCTGGGTCACGCAGGGCGGTGGGGCCCAGGGACGCCTCACTTCCTCGCTCTGCGCCTGACAGGGCTCGGTTGGTGTGAATTTTTTCCGAGCAATTTCTAGTTTGTGGCCGAGCAGCCAGAGTGCAGGGAAGCCACGTATTTTGCGAGCCTCACAGGTCCAGAAGGATGACGCGAACCAGCGTGGTCTCTGTCGAGGCCACTTTGCACACCAGCGATGCCTCTCGTCGCCAGGAGCCCCAGGTCGGGCCCGGTCCTCACCCGGGGTGGCTGGCACAGCGTGGCAAGCCGGGAGGATTCCCTGAGTCGGCGATGACGTTCAGCCCAGCCACCGTTTCCTTGACCCGGGAGAAAAGCCCATGTGGTTTGGGGCTGGGGTGTGGATGAGCAAGGCTTTTGCCTCATTGCCCCGTGGCTTTAAATTGCAACCTCTCTTTTAATTTTCCATTATGCATTGAGCCCATCGGTGCCAGAACTGGACAAATCTGTTCCGTCTGGGAGCATGATCCCAGACAGCTATAAATTAGTTTGTGTACAGAGATGCCAAAAATGTGGCCTCCTGGTAGGGTGTCCCTGGGGCCGGTCACCTCCTCCAGTCTCCACCGTGGCGGCGGGCCTTGGCCGGTCGCCTCTGTCAATAGACTTTGCTTTGTATTTGGAAACTGTCTTTCCGTCAAGTCACCGCGGAGGCTAGGGAAGCCGCTGGCCTGCGAGGCTGTGCGGGCACGGTGGCCTGGGCAGCCTCGGGCCTTCCTAGGACGGTGCTTTCCCGAGGGCATCGCTTGCTTTTCTGCCCCAGAAGCAGCAATTCCCTGGAAGCAGGTCTCGTCCCTGACGAAAGCACAGCCCAAGAAAACTCCCTCGGCTTTTTCTGGATTGAACAGATAAACCACTGGGTACCGCTCCAGAAGCCAACATTTTTAAAGCTCCGAGAATCAGAGGACTTAGACAATCTAGCGCAAAGAAAAAGTCACCTGTAATCCCAGTCTCCTCAGACACATTTTGCTAATACTTGAGCATGGTGTTTCTCCATATTTCTTTTTAAAAACGCAGAAATCCTGTAGAGCTGGTGGAGCCTGCTTCCTGGAGCTGCCCCTCACATTACCCAATTAGTGCTTTCCTCTAAATACTGGAAACTTTTAGTTATTCCGCTCTGGAGTGTCCAGCGGCTTGAGCTCTGCCCCCTCACCCCTCCTCGCTGAAGCCACAGGGTTTTTTGAAGCCACCACAGAGGGACCCGGCCCGGAGGGGATGGGGGGTGAAGAAGAGGGAGGGCTTCACACAAAGCCAGCAGAGCGCCTGAGGGGGGCCTGTCCACGGACCCCCCAGACAGAAGCGTCCTGTGGAAGAGGCGCCTGCCCTGACCTCACTTCGCAATCCCTTTTCCTCACTCCATCTCCATTTCTCTGCTGGGTCCTGGGGTCTCCCTGTCACCAGCTTCCCTGTCGGGGCCTGTGAACTGTCCCCCTGTGAAGAGGCGAGGGCAGCACAGCCTGGACTGGAGGGTTTGGCAGAACCAGGAGGCTGATGTTGCTTCTCTGCTTCCTCCCCCTGGTGCGGCCAGAAGGTGCCTGTGACTATCTGCGGGTGGGTTGACAGAGACAGGGAAATCCGCGGTGGGTTTGGGAGAGAGGACAGAGGACGTCTCGGCTGAGCTGGCAGCGGGGCCGGTCCTGCCGGGCAGAAGAGGCCCCCGGCCCGGTGCGGAGCGCGCAGCCCGGGTGGGGGAGAGGAAGTGGGCCTGACTCGGCCAGCCCGCCCGGCCCGCACCCGCCGCTCGGCCTCGCCGTGAGCCACACAGCACACAGACCTCGCTTTTTCAGAAAATTATTTTTTCCTTTCTCACTTTCCATGGAAACTCAAAATAGCAACCAAAGGAAAGAAAAAAAACAGCCAGGCGCTCTCCCTGCCTGCAAAACCAGCCCCGGGCAGCGCAGTGACCCCGAGGGCTGCAGGGGGAGAGGGCTGGGGAGACAGGGCTGGAGACGCTGGGAACAGCCTCGCAGCGGGCCCTGCACACTCATCAGGTGTGGGCGGCTCTGAGGTCGCTGTGTTTTCTTCCAATTTAGAGAAGTGGGTTTCCCCTGGGTCTGGGAGTTCATCTTGCTCTTGGTGACCTGGCGGCTGAAACCCAGTCCCCCCTCTCGCTGGTGTCCAGGTCTAAACTGTGCAGAAGGGGCCAGAAGGCAGGGGCAGGTGCTTTCCAGATGCCTCCAAGGCCGTGCGGTGCGCCCCATCGCTGCAGGGCAGCCTAGCAGGGTGGAAACCACTGGCGTTGGGGTGAGGGCGCCCCGGTTCTAATATCACGTCAGGCACCCGAGCAGATGGTTTCCTCTCCCCTGTGACCCATGACGGGTGAATGAGGTGATCTCTCAGAGGGGACTCGGCAGCGCCCAGCATCCATGCCCCTGGCTGCCCCGCCATGCGCGCCTCCCCCTTCTGTCCTGAACGCCTGCTGTTTGCCTTTCAGCTGGCCGGCTCGGCTGTCATTGCTTTTGGACTATGGTTTCGCTTCGGAGGCAGCATGAAGGATTTCTCAGCAGAGGACAAGTCCCCAGAGTATTTCTATGTGGGTGAGTGACTCCCGCCTGCCCGCCTGGTCCCCGGAGCAGAACCTGCCCTGGAAAGCTGAGCCCCTGTGGATTCCTCTAGGCTGGGGGAGTGGGCAGGGCAGCTGGGAGGGCCCGAGACCCCACATGCTCCATCCCTCTAAGGGAGCTCAGTGGGGAGACCACCCTGTGGTGCTGCTTTCGGTCCCTGGTCCCTTCGCTAAAGCAAGCCTGAAGCACGAGCACAATTCCTTTCCAAAGAATTGGAAAGTTCCCTTTTGCCCCCTGAGTGAAGGGGTCACACCACAAAGTTAGTTATTCTCGCATGCATCTGGGTGATAAGGGGGCCCTTGTGAATCAGGCTTTTATTCTGCGGTCTTGTATTTCACATCGTCTAGACGAGAAATAGGATGCACACGGAAGAGAGCCATCTTTAGGTTTTGGGGTGCTAATCTCAGTTCCTCCAAGGCTAGGAGCTGCCTCTGGGAAGGGAAGCGGGGAGGTGGGAGTGGGCAGGACTGCCTGGGGGGAGGCTGCAGTGGGGAGGGGTGGTAAATAGGACAGGGGCGAGGGGGCTATGGTGTAATTTTTAATTCTAAGATGCTAAGGGTGTGATGTAAGTAGGAGCTGAGCGTTTCCTCGGCTTCCCAGCGCCCTTCCTGCTCCCATCCCTGCCAGGAAGGAGAGCAGGCACAGAGAAAGGAGGCTTTTAGAGGAAAGTAACAACAACAACAAAAACACGACTAAAGATGGGCAATAATGTTTCATCAAAGCTTAGGTGGAGACTTTCGTAAAGCACCCAATTAATTTTAAGTTCCACTAAGGAAAGACGAAATGCTGCCCATTTAACTGTGACACACCGTCAAGGATGCATCGTCATTTCAGAAACATTAAAATGCTTGATTTGAAATACACACACACACACACACACACACAGAGAGAGATACATGTAACATACATATATAGTATGTGAACTGTGGTAAAATCTGGGGAGTCTCCAGAATCGGTTCCGAGCTCAATAAAGCCCTCAAAGGCCCAGGTTCTTTCTATCTTCCTACTCACCGTCCTCAGAACTCAGAATATGCTCAAACTCTTCCCTTCAGGGTTACAAAACCGCTATGGGCTGAGCCTCACATCCTCAGACACATCAAAGGGCCTTTTTCAGGACTGAACAAAACATTTGTCAGAGCTCAGGCAACAAACTTCCCCTGACCGCTTTCCCTTTCAGTGATAATAAACGTCTGGTTATCTAAAAACCTCTCCGTGGTGATCTTAATTTGGGGCTTTCATCGAATGTCTGGTTTCACGCAAATGTTCTGATTCCAAGCAGGGGCACCTCAATTCTGCCCCTTTTTTGCAGGCTCCTCCATGAGAGGAAAGCACAACCTACCGTGGCCACATCAGCCGCATCTACAGCTCAGGGCCCTGGGGTCACACAAGCACACGGTTCTTACCCCCAAGTTAGACACCTTCTACTTGGAAGGACGTCTAGACACAACAGTCTGTTCAAAACTAGTGCGTAACTAAGTGTCAGCTAAGATGTCCGTAGTGGGTGCAGCGGGGTCATTCCAAACAGGTGAGGCAGGGAAGACTTTAGTGAGGTTGGAAAGATCACAGTATGACTGGGGGAGTTGAGAGGGGACTCCGGCTTTGAGGAAGGCGGCGCTAGGCCCGTCCACGGGACAGGGACTAGCCCTGCTGGGCAGGGAAATCTTTTTTTTTTTTTAAGATTCATTTATTTATGCATACAAGAGCTGAGGTGTAGGCCAGAGGTGCAGGGGGTGAGAGGATTCACCAGAGACAGAGTGGGGAACAGAACAGGCAGACTGACTGAAATACACTGCTGAGGGGAGCAGTAGGGAGACAGGAGAGGTCTGTTGTGCCATGTGGGTAGCTCCCTGGCCGGGGATCGAACTCGTGCTGCAGTGGCTGCAGATAGCTTCATAGTGCTGTGCTTAACCCCTTGGGCCACCAGGGAGGCCCCTAGGCAGGGCACTCTCACTGGACTGTGAAGGATTGGGTGTGGAGTTTGGGGAGGGAGGAGGCAGTGAGGTCAGAAGTTCTGGGGGGGCCTGGAACATCAGGGTTGTCCATTTGATGAGGATCATTTAGGTTGGGGGAGGGGATGATCACTGCATTTTACTGAGATGATTCTGGCAGCGGTGGAATGTGAGGGAGTCACAGGACAGTAAAGAATGTGCTAGCTTATTGGTAGAGTTGTGGGGACACACCCATGTGGTTGCTGAAGGAATGGTGCAGAAAGGGACAGAAAGACAAGAAATGCTAAACATTATTAAGCATCAGTAAACAGCATTGTGAAACGTTATTAGACTCTGGGACAGAAGGAATCAAAATCGGGTAGAATGAGCCGAGAAGTGCTAACTCCTGAATTTCAGCTGGAAACCTGGGGGGCAGGTGTGTGGACCTGGGGGCGGAAGCTAGTTCTGGTCGCTCCAGAAACAAAGCACTGAGAGCAATTCACAGGTGTGGGCTTGGGGCCAGCACAAGAAAACCCTTTTAATGATTGGATAAATGGAAAGAGCTGAGCAGACTGTCACAGGTGAATGTAAACTCTCCCTCATGTCAGTGTGTCACCACTAATGTGGCAAGATCAAACGGGTATTTCTGCACTCCTGTGCTGAGTAGGAAAAGCGCTGGCTCTGCACACGCCTTCCTGATTGTTTTCTGATCAAAACTAAGCAGCATCAATTGCCAGAGATGCCGGAAATTCTTATTTTCATGGACTTCTCTCTAGGACTCTTAACTGCAAGTCATGGAAACCTGTTCTTCCTATTTGTAAGAACCGGGTTCAAATTGTCTTGAGCAAAACAGAAATTTCTTGACTCACCTGTCAAGTCTTGGCTGAGCGCTGGGCCAGGAGCACAAGTGACATCACCAGAAGCCAACCTGCAGCGCCTCCCACCTCTGCTTTCCTTGGCCCCCATTCTTGGGCAGGTTTACTCCGGACGTGATAAAATGGCAGCCCCCTGCCTCAGGCCCATACCCCGCCAGCCCGGCAACAGCAGCACACACTTCATTCAGCCCAGCAGACACTCCCGAGTCCTGAGCCGCACCCAATCGGGCCCTCACGTTCTCATCAGCCCTTCGCTAAAGTGTTGTGAGCAGGCCCAGCATGGCCAAGTGGCTCTAGAAGAAATGTGGCCTCACAGCCCCGTCTCTGAGGGGACCCCAGAAGACATACAGTCTTAGCCCCCTGCTTGTGGGCAGAGGACTGTATGCCCTATAAAGAAAATCCTTCCATCTTTCTGGGATCCTTGGTTCTTCCTCCATGGCCCTGGAGAGAAGGCCCTTGTTTGTGATAAAGATGGGACAGGACCCCACTGGGAGGAGCTGGAAATGAGGTCGAGGCAGGGTAGTCAGACTGCCTGCCGCTGCTGCCTCTACAGGACTGGGTCCAGGCCAGGCCCCGGAGGCCCAGCCAGGATGTGTGTCCACTGGTTGCTAAGGTGGAGAGAGCAGAACCTGGCAGGCAGGGAGCCAGCCCAAGAAGGGCTGGGTGACTTGGTGTTTCCTCAGCCCTCTCCACTACTGAGTTTCAGTGAACTTTTGGGCAAAGCCTCCAGTGTCTTCCAGATCCCACCAGCCTGCCCCCTGACTTGCTGTGACAGCCCAACTCTGGGGCTGCCTCTGAGAGGGAGAGACCCAGAAAGGCTCTTCTTTCTAGGAGTGTGGCGGGAGCTGTAGGGCAAGCACGCACAGGGCAGGCTCACTGTCAATTCAGGCAGACGGACAGAGTCTTGGAGCCCTCGGTGGAGTTTTCCAGGCCTTCAGTGCTCTCTCAGGGAACCAGCACACAGGCACGCCAGGCGGGGGCTGGCATGCAAGGAGGCAGGCATGGGCCGGCCAGGGGGCTGGAGGCCGGCAGGCAACTGAGCCTCCCAGCCCCCCACGAATCCTGGCTTTCGTTCGCTCTGGCCTCTCTCTGCCATTTTCAGTCTCGTGTGACCTCCGGGTCTCCCCTCAGAGTGATCCTCTAGCCGTGCTGCCGCCGCTGCCTTTCCAACCCCCTCAGCCCAGGTGTGAGCACTCTCACACACGCACGCCCGTGCTTTCTGGGCCCAGGTGTCTGTGGTCAAGGCGCACGTGCCCTGCACCCTCGGCCTCCTGCCCCGGGCATCCATGCTAGGCCCCGGGCATCTAGGAGGGCACAAAAAAGCCTGATAACTTCATTTACCCTAAAGGGGCACCCCCTCAGCCCTCGGCAGGCTGCACAGGCGTGTGTGCTCGGGCACATGAGGTCATGTCTGTGGGCGCAGGACGTTAGCTGGTTTTCCACGCAGGGGTTGCCCACACAAACAGCCACTCGGCTCTGCAAGCCCCAGGCTGACGGGGCTCGCCCCCTGCTCTCCCTGAGTCCAGGCCTGGCTGGGAGCACGGCTGGCGTCCTGTACACAGGCGCGTCCAGTCTGGACGCGGAGGGGCTGGCTGGCCTCTTTCAGAGCGCTGACTCACTCTGGTGGTATTTTTTGACTTCTTGGTTTTCAGTGGTAGCTGGGAGTCGTGGTAGCAGAGCAGAGGTGTGCTGCCGCCACAGCATTGACACAATTTCTCCAGCACATTTTTAGAGGAAGTTATGGTCAGTAATTAGTGTCATGTTGCTGATAACGAAACCGAGCAAGGGGAGCATTTACCAAACGCCACGGTTGCCAAGGTCTGGATTTCTGACTCTAGCCCTGTCCTGGAGGAAGAAAACCCAGAAACCGCCCATTATGGACCCCTTAAGCACTCTCAGAGAAGGAAAAAAATCCTCCTGGCATTTATAAATTGCAAAAGCAACAGATTTCTAGGTGGGAGAGGCAGTGATTTTTATGAGTTTCTACTGAAAGAGCAGCCTGGGGGGTGGGGTACACTCTCTGGCTAGACCCTTGGGGTTCAGTTCCAGGTTTGCCCCCCATTAGCTGTGCAATCCTAGGAACATGACTTCTCTGTCCTAGAGCCCCAGGATGTGAGATATAAATGCTGATTCCACGCGCCCTGGCGGGTCCATGTGAGGACGAGGTGGTTGGCTGGACACGCCAAGCACCCGCTGTGTAGTGAGCCCCAGTACACAGGAGCCGCTGATTCTGTAAGGAGGGCCTCCTACGGAAGGAGTCAGCCTGCGGAGTCGTGAGGGCTTAGGAAAACAGGAGAGAGAGAAAGGAGTGATAAGCGGCTAAGTATCCACGAGAGACTTGTTCACAGCTTCGAGGCTTCTCGGGCGGCAGGTGCCGGGATGCGCCTGCCAAGGCACAGCTGTGCCGGCAGCCAGGCACCAGGCCGTGGTGGCCGTTTCTCTGGGTGCTGAATGAATCCCCTGCTGACTCATGTTAAGCACGTAGAGCAACACTTAATAACTGATGGCTGTCGTTATTCAGAAGCAAGTCCCTACCTCCCCCATAAGCAAAGTCCATGCAATCCTGTACTGTGTGCATCTAGGGCAAACTGGCATTGCAAGGCCCAGTTATTAATGATAAAAATGCAATTTCAAGGTGTTTTTCTCTTTAAAATCAGGGGAACTAGGACTCCGAAAGCATGGGGATTTGGGAAATAGGTTACACTGCTATGGGCGAGGGACTCGATAGAAACCATCTTGAAATTAAAAAGTGACTGTCAATTTATTCCTTCAATAGCTACTTTTTGAGGGCCAGGTCAGAGAAAGGATAAGGTAACCTTGAAAACCACAGGTGGCCTTGGGGATGACACCAGATCTGGAACCGGATCCAGCAGGTGCGTGGAATTCTGCCGATGTCCCTTCGGCTTCTGTAAGCTCACATGGCCCTGGGCTCAGTCACGTGGCTCCCACTTACACACACATGGGTGTGCTGGGGAGAGGCCTCAAGAATCTGAGCTGCTGAACAGTTTGGAGGACTTTTGGGGCGCTCTGGAGCTCTGATAGTCTAAGAATGGAATACTGTACAAAACATGCTTTCTTGGGGCAAGCGTGGTTTCAAAAGGCAAGGACCGCTGCCCGAGGGACCCAGCGAGCTTGTAGCCACGGGAAGCAGCTCTGTCCTCTGCCCACGGGCCTCTGTGCACAGCACCCCACCTCCCTCGCAGCACCCTGTCGCCTTCAGACTCTCAGGATCCCTTCCTTGGGCTGTGCTGCCACGCCCTCTCGGCCCAGCCGTGGCTGTGCCATCCCTGCAGTGACGTGGATGTCTGTCGCCATGTGTCCTCAGCTTGTATCTAAACAAAGCCGGCGATGGCAGACAGCCAGGCCAGAAGTTCGGATTTGATTTGCTGTCTTTGCTACTCATCCAACAAACTGATGGAGAATTGCCTGGTGCCGGGCATTTTCTAGGTAGGATGAATAGTCTGTCGGTGGAATTAACGTCTCCAGCGAAAGACAAACATGAGACCCCGCAAAGGCACGAAACAGAAAGGGATGGGACGTGAATCCCCATGTGGGGATGGAGACGCGTGGGGTGGAGACTGGTCCAGGTGGGCCCCTCCCAGGCCGTGATTCTGAGCAGAGTGTGGAACCAGCGCGCAGCAGTAGGGAGACTGAGCTTCTTAGGCAGCAAATCAGTATAATGCGGTGCTCCAGCCACGGCCCCTCTGCTGCCCGTCAGTCGGCCTGTGTCCCTGAAGAGAGCAGGGTGGTACTGGGGCTCCCTGTGTGTCCTGCCTCTCGGACCCCAATTTGTAAAACAGAAATGTAACTTAACCTGCTTACCTAACAGGGGTGTTTTGAGGAAACCACTGAGATGATGGCAATGAAAGGACTTTGAAAACTAAAGAATTTTTTTTTTTGACGATAAGGTGTTCAGATAGCGGAGCCAACAACAGTATTATTTGTAATATGGTATCATTTCTTACGAACACATCCATTCCCTTATGAAATTATTCTTTAAAGAGGAAAAAGGAGGACTTGGCAGAGCCAGCCCAGCAGTAGATGAAGAAATACCTGCCTCCGAGGAGGAACTGCAGGGCTTCCCCTTGCGGCGCTGAGAACTGCCTGGGCGGAGCAGGAAGCGGCAGCCCGGCTGCCCCTTCATGTAGGTCAGGGAACAGGCAGATCTGTCCACAAACCACCCCGAGCACTCCAGAGGGCCCGAGGCACCCTCTGGCCAAGCAGGGTTTCCCCACAGCACGGCTGCCAGCTCCCCACCCTCTACCCTCGTGGTGAATGGGAGTGGTTTCCAGGTGACTCATATGAATAACACATACACAAAAATAAAGAGACGTGTTGCATTATTCTGAGCAAGTCAAGTGCCAGGCACATACTGTGTTCTAATTTATCTCAGATCAGAAAGGAAATAAGAAAAGGCTTGGCTTTATTTCTCTCAGAATAAGAACAGGGCTGTCCTTTTCTTTCTCTAGGAGAGCAACTTTCCTTTAGTGGTCAAGGAAATCCTCCCTCACCCCTCAGCCCAGATTAAGGCCTCTGCTACTGCTGGAGAGCAGCCCAGGCTGATGTGGGGAGCTGGCTTTGGAGGCAGATGGGTAGCTTTACCCCCAGCTCTATCATCTTGGCCAAATCACTTAACCTTTGGGAGCCCAGTTGCTCTGAATAAAAAAGTGGAGATAAGCTTGGTACCCGCCGCAGGAAGATTACATCAACAGAACTGTGCTAGGTGCTAGCAGAAAATAAGCCCTAAATAAAGGCAGCCTATATTATCTTCATAGCAACATTATTTGGTTTCGATGACCTAATCGCCTGCCTGCTTAGCTGCCTTCTTAGAACACGGCGTCCGGGTGTCAGGGTATGCGGCGCCGCCCTCCAACGCTTGCAGGTCTCATGCAGCCTCAATGCCTGCCTCACTGCCCGCCACCCCTCTCCTCAACCCAAAGTCCTCTTCCGACCCCCTCCTGCTTCCTCTCCTGTGCCTGGGCAGGTCACCAGTCCCCTTTCCCTCCTAGAAGTTCCTCATGGCCTCACAAGATGGAGATATTCGTTCCAGAAAGGTCTGGCGCCTGACCTCGCCTAGACTCAATTGCTTTCATGTCAAGCAGATGATAGTAATATCCCCTCGACAGCATGTGGACATCCGAGATGCAATGTGGGGTGTGGGAAGGCACGTGGGGGTGACTAGGAGCAGAGCTGTGGGACTCGGTCAGATGTGGCTTCAGTCCTGAGTGGCTGCACACCTAGAACAGGAGCCTGCACTGCTGGGCGCTCAGCTGGCTCTGTTCGTGGGGTAACAGCCGTTCCGCCCCCGGGATGCTGTGGGATGGGGGAGCACTCAGCAAGCGCCCAAAGCTATGCCTCTTCTTGCTCTCCCTGGGGGATCTGGGCAGTGGTGGAGGCTGTGGGGCCCCCCACGCAGGGCTCAGGGAGGGGGTGGCCGAATGGTCAGCGTCTCCTCCGCCCTCTTCCCACAGGACTCTATGTGCTAGTGGGAGCAGGGGCCCTGATGATGGCCGTGGGGTTCTTCGGGTGCTGCGGAGCCATGCGGGAGTCACAGTGTGTGCTCGGATCTGTAAGTGGGGCGCCGCGGGGTAGGTGGGGGCATGGGCCTGAAGGGAGTCCCATGTATGGATTCCAGTACCACCTCGTCAGGCCCACTGAGACCTTGGCACTCACTGTCTCCTGAGTCTGGGTTTTTCCCTCTCGCGCGAGAATAATGCTCTCTTTGCCCTGCCTCGCACAGAAAGTGAACCAGATGAGGCGGGTCTTCACTGTGAAGGTGTCTGAGGGGCATGTGCCTATCATTTGTAAGGGGCAATTAAAACTGTTCTTTCACGGAATATTTCGCAGTGGGTAGAGAGCTAAAAGATTCCTCAAGCCAAGGAAGCGCTGTTATCTACAAGAAAAGCATTGCAGTTTGCGATAATAACTTACCAAACCTCCCTCTTCTGGCTCATTTTAACAAGCAGACCGTTGTTTTAAAGCCTGAAATTATTTCTGTGAGCTGCTATACAGCCGCTGCCAGTGTGAACCAAGAGAAGGAGAAGGAAGGAGGTGGGAAGAGAGAATGCTTTGTTTCTCCATGAGGAGAGAGACAGGGGTTTTACGAGGCGGCCTCGTTATTCGTTGCCGTCTTGGCCTTCTTTAACTGGGCCTGCTTCTCTGTAAAATTTCTACCTGGCTTCCTCGACCCTCCATTCTCTATTTCTGCACACCTCTTTCTCTTGTTCATCACTACACTGATTTGACAGGAGCAGACCCAAGGTAGAAGTCTGTGCTGAAGGACTCCCCACCTCCACCCCAACCCTCAGAGGTGCCTTCCCAGACCAAACAGCCTCAGGCCATGCCTTCCCAAGTCCAGGGCCCTCCAGTCACTTTCATCTCCTGGCCTTATTTTATGTCTCTATAAAGCCTGTTTTGTTCAAGTGTTTATTAAGCAGATAGGCGCAAGGCTCTGTTCTAGCTGGTGGGGGTTCACTATCTGAAACTGTCTTACTCAGTTGGTTTTATTGGTTTTATTCATGTATCCTATCTTTCCTTTCTGAGGTCCATGATATCAGGGGTGCTGAGACCTTGACTGTCCACCACTCAGTACCAAGAACAGTGCCTGTGGCATAGTAGATGCTCGATAAACAATAGCTGAATGAATTAATGAGTGAGTGAATGAATGTATGTTTGAACAAACTATAAAGGAACCAAGGGGCAAATTCTTCCTGCTAGATCAAGTCAAACTAATAACTTGCCTAATGTTTTTCAAATAGAACTAGAATCAAAGTGGCTGAATAAATTAAAAAGGTATTGAATGAATGTAGTAATTATTTTTTCTCCTCTACAGTTTTTCACTTGCCTACTGGTGATATTTGCTGCTGAAGTAACCACTGGAGTATTTGCTTTTATAGGCAAGGGTGTAGTAAGTAAAAATTACAATTTTTTTTTTTGTGTGGGACCCCCGCCGGCGGCTGGGGAATGACCTGTCACTGCAGAGGCTGTGGGCAGCCTCGCAGCCCAGCGTTCAGCCGCCGCACCACCAGAGGAGGCCCAAAAATTACAATTTTTTTAATGCTGATTCAAGTGTTCTCTGTACGGCAAAGGATAATACTGATGTTGCAAAACCAGATAACCCCATAATTATCAATTGTGCAGAGCTGTTTAACCTAGATGTATTGTACAGATTAAACATATCTGTGAATGAGTGTCCCTGCATATATGTGAGCGTATTTTTCTGGGGACATAGATGATGGCTTTCATTATTCTTATAAAGGGGGGGGGGTCTATAACCCAAAAAAGATCTTTAAGATTATCCCATTTGAAATGAGGTCGGGGTTAAACTGCAGAATGACCCAGGGGATGGGAACCATGCATTGTCGTCCCTTGTCCTTAGGCTTGGCCTGTGTACCTGTAACTGCAGCTAATGTGGATTTGTGCTCCACCTGCAGGTGCCGGAATAGGTTATCAGAACACACAGAGCAAGGGGCCTTTTTAGAAGGTTAAAAAAGACTGTAGGAAAGATGAGTGGAAAGGAAGAGGAGGAAGGATGGAATAATAAGTTTCCTGTACTCCACATAAATTCACATACCATCGATAATGCGTTTATGCACTTATTTTAGATTTTAAAAATGGGAGACAATTAAATCTCACCTTATTTGGAATTTTTCTAAAGGAACTGGTTTTATCTGTAGGTTAGAGGAATTGAATCTTAAGACCCTTTGAGATCTCTGTGGACTTGGGGTTTTGTGCCTCGATACTAGAAAAAGCAGTCTCTATGTTTTATATGATATTTGAAGGCAGAAACAATTTTCCTTGATGATGGATACCTTTTAAACCATGACATGATAAGACTTGAGTACCTTTAATCATAAGGCATCAAGAATGCCTAGGTCCCTACCCTGGCTGTGTGGCAGGGGAGGGGGCCAGGAATCTGGGTTCCTGTTGGTGCTGACACCCATTCAGATTTAAGAGCCTCCATGCTAAGGAATCTTTTTAGTCCATGGAGACTATTCTCGGTTCATCCTCCAAAGCATCTTAGACACTCCAGAATCTATAATCTATTCCAGGTATGCAGACTTATTTTAAAACACAGATAAACATCTCTATTTTCGCAGGGGGAAGGAAGAGGGATTATCCTTGATGAAAAGAGAACATCTGAACTTCCCTCCCACTGTCCTTTCTGGTGTTTTTCAGGCTATACGACATGTTCAGAGCATGTACGAAGAGGCTTATAACGACTACCTTAAAGACAGGGGCAAGGGGAATGGGACACTCATTACCTTCCACTCAACAGTAAGTACCTTTACCTCTTCCTTACAGTTACTTCTAGAGATTGTGCATGAGTCGGCTTCTCTAGTCACCTGGAGTGAAAATAAAAATAAAGTCAGTGAAGTTGAGCAGCATCCGAGGAGCCGGAGTTTACATTGTGTGGGGGGCCTGGAAGAGAGCAGGGCTGACCCAAGAGGTCACGAGAGGAATCCAGGACTGGGGCGCAAAGAGGCAAAAAAGCACTACCAGAACACCGAGAAAGCCCCCCAAGTAAATACGGTTCTCTCAAATGGTGGCATCAGAATGTCACAGAAACACTTACTCCTTCCAGTCAGAAAAGCTCCTCTGCAGCTGCTGCTCTGAAAAGTGTGGCCTTGAGCACTTTTCTGCCTCCCTGTGGAGAAAACGTGCTATGAGCAGCCATGCCCCTTGCCCCAGCCTGTGGGGATGCTGGGGCCACATCCCGATAATCACAAGAGGCTGAGGGATTTGATGGGCCAGGCAAAGCCCTCCTGCTTTCTTAACCGCTTGTGACATGGAGAATTAGCCTCGCAGTCCTGGGCCAGGGTTTCCAGGTAGCCAGCTCTTACCTGTCACAGGAATGTCCTGCAAGGTGCCAAGCATTTCTCCCGCTTCTCCTCAGCTGCCCCAAGGACTCCAAGCAGCACAAAGGTTCTTTGTCCCTGAAGGGCCAGCCCTAAGGCAAGATACTTGTTTGCTGGCCCTCTTGGGCTGTGGGTTTTGGCTCCTAGGGTTTATTGTAGCCACTTCTCGCTGTCCCAGACTGTCCCCGCTTAATACGCCTGCCTTGAAGCTCATAGAAACTTTAGCTGCTCAGCAGATGAAATTACTCCCAGTCTGCTAGAAAGAATCCAAAGGCCAACCCCTGTCTGAAAAGCAGTCGTTTCACGGACACAGTCAATTAGCTTCGCGCCTTGTTTGGGTTGCCTTGAGTCACTTCCCATCATAAAAGTCGGACAACTTGTTTTGCTAGCCCAGATATGTGATTCTTTGCCCTCTTTCCTGACATGGTTTGAGTTGCAGTGACTGGACCTCATAACTTTTGCTGCCTCGGCACCCCAGTCCTTAGCCCTGACGCACAGGCTTGTGGCTGCTGCTTTTACGCTCGCGTCCTAAAAGCTCTTTTCTGATTTTCTAGTTTCAATGCTGTGGGAAAGAAAGCTCTGAACAGGTTCAGCCCACGTGCCCGAAGGAGCTCCCAGGACACAAGGTAAGCTTCTTACCCAGGTCCCTGCCTCCCTCGGTGTCAGCTGGTTCATGCCGTTGTTTGACCCAGGACAGTGCCCATGTTTTCTCTTATCAACAATATACAGTTAGCAAAAAATGACGTTACCTGAGCGTTCTCAGAGAAATTGGTACCAAATTTCATGCCCTTTGTTGCAGAAATTTCTCTCAAATTTATTTTAAGGAAAAGGAATCAGAGATGCGGACAGAGATTATGTGCCATGGTGATCATGCAGTGTTAATAGAACAAAAACAGTGGCGAGGCCATTGGGGATTGTTTAAATAAATTGTGTAGACATATATGGAAAAATGTTTTACAGCCATAGGAGTCACAATTTCAAAGAATTTTTAGTGAAGAAAAATTTTTTTGAGGTTGTAACGTCAAGTTACTTAAGCACACAGTTGTCTGTAAAGAATAAATGAAGCGTGTGTGTTTCTGTGTAAGGATACACCTGCCATGAGATTATCTTTAATAGTGGCAGTACAAGTGTATCTTCTTTTTTTTAGCATCTTTTTTTCCAAATTTCTGTACTAAGTGCATACTCCTTTCAACACTAAGTAAAGCCAGGACAGGTGTTGGTAGTTTTTCACAAAAAGGAACTGACTTTGGGAGACAGGAGGGCTTGGGGAGACGATGCTGGAGGAGGACTGTGTTATAAGGATCGTTGTTTGGATGAAAGAGCATGGCATGGTGCTAACTGAAAGCGGAAATGTCACTAGGGAAGGAAGACGGATGTGTGAGAAGGAAAGGAGGTGCCTGACAGCGCAGGGGTCCTGGGGAGACTAGACGGAATGGCATCCAAAGCAGGGAAGGGGTCACTTTCAACGGAGAGTGGCATTGAGAGAAAAAGGAGCTGTGCCGCCTTCCCCTCGCCAGCTCAGGGCCCACGACAGCGCTCTGCAATGGATGGCCGCAGCGCGGAGGCTGGGAGGTGGAGGCGAGGAGGGCTGGAAGAGGCCCACAGGCTCACTTCCGCTTTCTCTAAGGGAACCACCGTCTAGAGCAGTAGTTATCAAACTTACCAAACAAACAAACGTTTTGTGATGACTTTTTTGTGCACATCTCTGTCCTCTAAACTGTGAGCTCCCTGAGGGCAGATGAAATCATGTCTTTTATCTCCCATATCCATCATGCTATTTCAGTGACTGACGCAAGGTCACTTGCTCAAGATGTTTGTCGAATGAATGAATGAATGATGAGTGAAAGAAGTATGAGAGTGGTGAAGGTTTCATATAATGTATGAGGGTATCAAAGGGAACTGACCCAGTGTCCAGTAAAGGACTGGGTAATAAAAGGACAGAATTAGGCTGAAAGCATATCTCTGTACTGAAATAGAAACTAATTATGAATATAAGTGATCCTTTCTGCTCCTTATCCAGGTTCACCCCCAGCATGAAGGTTCTTTGAACCTGCCTTGCACAGGCCCCAAATTTTTTTAAAGGCCACAGGTCCCATAAGAGTTTCCTTCAGTCAAGTTTCAGGTCTCTGAAGGAACCATTGTCCTAAATGAGAAAATTCCACCCAAAAAGAAAGAATTGTATTTTCCCAAAACTACATTTTTGCTTTAAAATTGTCAGGATGATGCTATCCTGAGAGGAATGGTTTAAATGTGAGCAGAAGCTGGCACAGAATAATCTGTAGAAAAGGAAAGAATTGGACAGGGTAATGATTCACACATACTGTCAGTTGTTATTCCTACTTTTTTTTTTCCCCAAAACAGAACTGCATTGATGAAATTGAGACCATAATCAGTGTAAAGCTCCAGCTCATCGGAATTGTTGGTATTGGAATTGCCGGTCTTACGGTGAGAAAGTTCTAGAATTTACCTTTTCTACCCTCTAAGAACCTTTGAAACTTTTCATCTTATTTCTCTTCAAGTGTGATTTGGCAACATCTTAGGAAAGATTTCACATAAAAGACAAAGGCCTTTGTTGACAGACATTTTCTAAGAACAAAGTTAATTAGATACATCATACTTAGTTCTCTAAAATATGATGCAAATTTCAACTTTAACCCAATTATATCCTTGGGTTTATTATTGAAATGACTTCCCACTTTAAGGTAACCAAGCTTAATCTAGGTAATTTCTGTTCTGGCTCTCCATCATAGGTCACCCTCCTCTCACCTATGATTTGAAAAGGCAGCATAGTATAGAAATTAACAGTATGAGACTTGCCATCCCTCTGTCCCCATTCAACTCCTAACTCCACTGCCTACGAGCCCTGGGATGGTGGGAGAGTTTCTTACTTTCTCTATGCCTCAATTCCCTCAGCTGTGAAAAGTGGGGATTTTTGTATTCCAACCTCATAAAATTATTGTGAAGATTAAATGAGATAATATATATAAACTATTATTAGGAAATAACTCATAGAAAATGTCAGGATCATAGTACTCCATAAATGCTAGCTCTGTGTATAGTCAAGAGCATCCCGAAATTCAGAATCCAAGCAAAGAGAACAGGCTGTGGGTGATAATAGTGCATCCAGGTGCCCTCAGGTGGCTCACTGCTTTTAAAATATGGAAGATGACTTTGCAAGAATTGATAGGAACAAAGGGTGTGGTAGGAGAAGCAAGGGGTGACAGTGGGTTCACATAATTGAGGTCTTTGTGTGCCCTTTTGAGAAGTTAGACACTTTAAAGCTGAGGGGAGCCACTGAGGATTAGAAGGACCTACACTGTAGTATGTAGATAAAGTTGGAATAGCCAAGATCTGAGTCAGAGAGGCCAGTGAGAGGTGCTTTCCATTGTCCACAGGTTGAAGGGTGATAACTCATGGTAAGATAGGACTTACTCTCTAATCCTCTGAATAAAGTAAGGGGCAATGAGGGTTTTAAGGAAAGCTAGGAATTGGTAGGTTTTTTTCTTCTTTTCTCTGTTTAGAACACAGGGGTGGGTAGTGGGTGAAAATGCTATGCTGAGGACTCCCTTTTGCAGGAACACCCCTCAGGCCCTTCCCACCTCCTCTAACTCAGCCTGCTCACCATCTGCAGCTCCCCAGGACAGGTGGAAGATTTTTAAAGTTCTGCATAATGGAAATGTCAAACAGACCCTCTTAACAATTATACTGTCTGTATAGATGAACAGTCTAGACCCTTGACTGTAGGATGAGCTGAAAAAATTTCTTGGGGTGAGGAGGAAAGGAGGGAAGGGCTTCAGTGTATACAACCAGCAAGAAGTAGGGGTTGCATGCAACCTTACCAACACAGCGAGGAGCAATGGCCCTCTGTTGGTCCGCTTGAATCAGCACCCCAGATTCTTTTTAAATTCTTTTCTTCACAAGGGAAGCGTTGCATAGTGTGATCAGCTAACCAAATGTCAGCTCCGCATCTCTCCTCCACACACTGGTACCAAGCAAGCTCTGGGGTCCAGAGCTCAGAGCCCTGCTTCTGGCTGTTCCTTTACTTAAGGCTGCCCCTTCCCTTCCAAAATAACAGCTAATTCATGCTGCTATGAATTTAGTATTTACAGATCCTGGTCTGATTTAGAATGGGGTTGGTGGGAGAACCAGAGAGGTATGGTGCTGATTTCTATAAACAAATGTTGACAGTAGTTGATAAACATTGCACGCACAGAGAGCATTCCACAGTGTCAGCAAAATTGTCAGGGGAAAACTGAGGACAGGAGGATCTTTTGGCATCCTTCTAGCCAAGCCATAAAAGTAGCCATTGATTTTGCCAAGTATTTGAATTCTCAAAGAAGTACCCAAGAGGAGAAGACATCAATAGTACCATAGTCAAAACACCTTAGTGTATGCTTTGGTAAAACCATCGAGTTAAATAGTGAAGCATTATTTTCACTTAAAAATAGATCAGGAATGAAGAGAGGCTCCACTTTTTAATGTGTGATCACAGTTACAAAAGTTCATGACTTTTCCAAAGATGGAAAACTATGTAAACCCCAAGCATATTTAGACAACAGTGATTACAGACACATTTTTTTTTCAAAATAAATATATAAAAGATCTGAGATTAACCTGAAATTCAAAATTCCAAAACCAGTAGTGTATCGGTCTTTCACGATTATTAAGAATTATTCTGCTGTTTTATATACTAGAAAAATAGCCCTTTTCTTAAGCAGGTTCTTGTTATTTTTTAACAATAATAAAATAGGAATATATTTTAAGCAGCTTATACAGCTTTTAATGAGTAGCCATAATTAAATAGAATATAAAAACGCCATTTATAACCAGTAATTGCTTATAATTATTTACTAACTTTAGTCAGACACTTAGGCAACTTGCTAACCTTGTTATCAATTTTTATCACTTGAAAGTCATTAATGAGTGGTTCCTTCTGTTTCAGATCTTTGGCATGATATTCAGTATGGTCCTTTGCTGCGCGATACGAAACTCACGAGATGTGATATAAAGCGACTTCTACAAGGAAACTACAGTCTAGAGCTTTCGTACAAATGCCCCAGGAGCTTTCTCCTGGTTCATTTTTAATAGTCAAAGGACATCAGGTTCTAAAATAATTTGCTGTTAATTGTACATTTGCACATGTATGTTTGGCTTCCTGTGTGTGGTGACTGAGAGCATATTCATGTGTGATCTGAGTGTTTCCAGTACATGCATTATACATAATGAAATCTGTTTGCTGGGAATTCCTGATTCTTGTTATGTGAGAACAACAACTTATTTAACCCTCAGAAAAAGATTTAAAAAAAAAAATTTTGATAGACTTAAAAAACTTGGTTATGAAAAATGAAAAAATGATAGTGGGTTAGTTTCTTAAACTCTAGTCATAGAAAGAGACATAGAATTAGGGATTTTTAGTAAACAGGAGCAATAAGCTACAGGAATTGAGAAATCGTGGTGCAGTGTTAAAATTGACTATGTCTGTGCTGGGTTTAAGGGTTTCCTGAGTTTTTTTATATGCATACTCTCCCTAGAATACAGTAAACTAGTTTTAGAACTAAACACATCTGTAGAACTAAATGTAGCATGGAAAATCTAATTTGAATAAATCTTACTTTCCTAGTACTTAACAAAAAAACCTCCCTCTGGAAAGAGTGGTTACACAGACAATCATGTACCCTATCAAAGTGAGTGCTTTTAGGACTAGAAGATCTTTTAACAACTTTTTAAAGAAATATTTTTGTTCATATATAAAGACATTTAAATATTTATTACTTTCCTTATCTGACTCTGCTGTGAACTACTGCAGTCCTTAACATCCTCTAAAGGGCTTTTCTCTCTACTTTTTCTGTTTCTCCAAGCTCCATGGATAGAAAGACAAAGCAAGAGATCTGCCAGCCACAAATTGTGGGAAAAAAGAATTTTTACTAGCACTGTGTCTTTGAAATATCTCATACTTTGAGTTTAAAAATGATCCTAATTTTTTGTATTTTGCTATTTATTCACATAGAGACTCTTCCTCATAGATTAGGAACTACATTTTTTTACCTTTAAATTGTAAAGCAAAATCCTTCATAATTCAAATATTATCTCATGAGCATCCTTGGCCAAAACCAAAATAAACAAAGAAAAGCATCTGCTAGTTGTGGGCACACTACAGAGACAAGCTAAGGAAACAAAAATAGAAATGTGTTCTTTCTGTGCAAGTTCCCTATAAAAATAAAATTTTCATATTCTTTTATGGTCTTGATGCTTCACTATAGGTATGAAATCTAAATTTGGGACCTAAATTGACTTATTTGCCTAATTTTTAATAAGTGTGTCCATTTCGTAAATCAAAGAAATTTCTTTTTTTCCATTAAAAGGCCACACAAAAGTGAAAATATGCAGGACTTTAGAATCACCTCATGTGACTTTGCACAAATATAAGAACACAAGTCTTAGGGTGTGCACTAAACAAAGTCTGCACTTTGACAAAACACTTTCTGAAAAGACAACCATTTGCAATAGTCTCACTCCCATAGAAACCACATTTCTCTTTCTATCATATTTGCTACTGCTACTAACTTTGGAGGAATATTTTCTAGGAAAAAAGTCAGATTAAAAGCAGGCTAAAATTTACTTGTATGTGGATAGTTCACTGTCTACAGCTAAAGAAGATTATTTTAAGAAAGTCACTCTATGAATCAGATGTTATACCCCAGTAATTGAGAAGTATCATCTTTGAAGCAGAGAACAGACTATGTCTCGTGAGGGCTTCAGTTCTTCTGCCTCGAGAGAGGAGAGAGGCCCAAGTATGTACTCAGGGTCCTTCCAGCTCTGAATCATGTCCGAGCCAACAGAGTGGGTTTCATTCTATCTCTGAATGAACGACCATGAAGACTACAGTAGCTAAAAGTGGAAGAGTAGAGATCTGCTCTATTATGATTAATGTGCCCTTTTAGGGAGTAATTGCTCCAAAATACGTGCCATGAGTAAAATTAGAGAATTCTACCTCTGAGCAAGGGTAGCTTTATGTATATCTTGAGTCTATATATATCTTGAATTCCTATATATCTTGATTCTATAATCTTGAATATATACACATATATAACTTGAATGTATGTATACATATATGTGTGTGTGTACACACGCACACATGCTTATGAATAAATTTTTGGTTTTGTCTGTTTTCCTAAACTAATTTGAAATCAGACCCAAACTTTTTCTTAAGTATCTCGTGCCAAGGCACTGAAGTAAAACTTTTTAATGAAGAAATATTTTAAGTTATTTCAAATTAAATTTTCTGTGTACTAGAATTGTTTGTTCGGTTTATTTTAAAATCCTATGTATCTTTATGTGCACTTCACACAACTCACCTAAATGTTGAATTTACCAATCAACTCAAACAATGTGGTAAAAGTAGAACAGTGGTAACCCCTCCATGGAGTTACAACTGGAAACTGAAATCAAAAGCAACACCCTAAGGACTTTCACTGCATACAGCTACACTTCAATTAATATTGTTCCATCCAAACCATACCTCTGTTCCCCTGAACAGCCCCTGTTGCTTCTGTAAAATTGTACACCAACAGTTCCAGTGGAGTCTTCCACACAGTCGGCAATGATCACGGCTCTCCTTTCCCCTGCGAGCAAAGCTTAAAGGTTGGCTCAGTGAGAATGAGGGTCACAGAACTTCCCTCAATAGCAGTGAAGGAGATAACATATTTTCCTTTATCAAGTAAGCTTATTAAAGATTAAAATGAAGAGACACCTCCATGTCATGGGTAAAACATGACCTCCATGGCCACAAGGCTAGCCACTGGGAATTCCAGAGGTGTACCCGAACTTTCCTAGTTCACTGCCTTGATATACCGCTTTTGACTACCAGGCCCTAAATTTCAGCAATGCCATTTCCCCCACCCCTGGGACGGAACATTCTTGGGCCCTTGGAGCTACTCAATTAACTGTATCATCTTAGATGGGACTCATCAAAATCAAAGTTTTGTTTAAAAGTTTTGGAACAAAAAGTTTCTGCTCTCTTTCAACATTCTTTATTATTTTTTTCTATAAAGCATACATACCTGTAAGGTCTTCTATGTAGGTGTCCTCTCAAAGGTGAAAAAGACTACTGCAAAGCAAAATGCTATTAATCATTTTGTTGATATTCTCATTGTAACAGAAAGGCTAAATACATTCCAGGAATTCACTATTCAGGAATCCACTGCCTCCTGAGGACAGGGGAAGCATGAAGAATAGAAGAATATATCCCATATTACAAAGCAAAAATCTATGCTGATTTCATAAAATTTTTAATATTCCAGAAACCCTTTCAAAGTTTAGGAGTTTGTTTTTTTTTCCCTACTGTATAATTTTTGATGGTTTTACTTATATTAAGTAGAATAAATTGAAATTAAATAACCAACAAAGTGCTTAACACACCTGACAATTAATGAATATGAGCTATTGTTATAATTATTATGTTGATAAGTTTTGTTAATTATAAATCAAACATGAAAATTCATGCATAACTAAAGACACTTCCACATAATACCAAATACCTACTTGACCACATTCACTTGTTGAGTTAATGGAGAATTTTTCATATATTTCCAGTTCTCTATAAGTTCAAGGACTTGATATCAGTTGTCATAGCCAAGTGCCTATACTTTTCTCTGAACCAATACTCCAATATAAGAATTGTGGTTTTACTATATTTGGGGGCTTTATTTTGGACACTTTTTAAAAATATAAGAATACTGAAGTGCTAAGATGAATAAGACAGCCCTCTGTCCTCAAGAAACTTTAAAGTAAGTTCAATGATTATCATTAACCCAGAGTAGACCCACTCAACGTGGCAGGGAATGGCCAGGGGAGAGAGGCTTTCTGAATTTGAGGCCTCTAAACTGAGTCCTGAAGAACCTATACAAATTACCCAATTAAAAAGTAACGGATAGAGAAGAGAGAGAGATTATTTTGCAAGTGACACAAGTACATGCAAGAAGACTCAAAACAGAAAGCATGAAAACATTAAAAGACGACCTGTCAAGAACCCAAGAGATAAAGGACCCTGCTAACTGTACTGAGTCTTATCTCTGTTCAGAGGCCGTTGGGCGAATTTTAAACAAATTACAAAATACAATTTGAAGCTTTCAACGACCACTTAGTTTCAATATGAACAATGATTAGCGGGCAAAGGTCAGAGTGACAAGTTCTTAAAATTAATACACTGGAAACAGTTTTTAAAGCACTGAGTCTCAAGTTTCCTCTGCCAAGGACTGTCTCCTTTAAACTCTGAGTTGAATTTTGAAACTATAAGTTCCATCTTTCTCTTATTACAAAAGGAGGAATTCTTCACCTCCCCATTTTAAACTCTCTATTTATCCTTCCTCTTAAAGGCTCCCAAAGTAGCAAGATCCTCCAAAACAACATTTCCATATACCCAAGTTTCTGGGTTCAATTGAAATAGATTTTTGGTTATACAATTCCCTAAGCACTCTCCCAAGGATTCTTTGTTTTGAACAAGTTTACTTTCAAGAATAGCTTAATAGGGCCTCCCCTGGTGGCGCAGCGGTTGAGCGCTGGGCTGCGAAGCCGCCCGCAGCCTCTTCAGCACCGGTTCGATCCCCGGCCGCCGGCAAGGGTCCCACATGGTGCGCAGACCTCTCCTGCCACCCGCTGCTCCCCTCAGCGGTGTACTTCGGTCCTTCTGCCTGTTCTGTTCCCCACTCTGGCTCTGGTTCTGGTGAATTCTCTTACCCTCCCACACTTCTGACTATACCCAGTGCTTGTATAAATAAATAAATAAATCTTTAAAAAAAAGAATAGCTTAATATAATTTATATGTGAGATATAATTTATATATCAGGCTATTCTACATAGCCTGCCTGCTATGGGAGGAAACAAGTTATCTCCGATACTCCCACCAGGGGTTCTATGGCCCACGGTAGGCCAAGCCCACCACACCCATGTCCAGACCTGGCCTCTTCCCTCCAGGTTGAGGAAGCCCATTTCAGTAATGTCTTTTGAGTTAGTTCATGAGAGGCCTCTGTAAGTTTCTCGGCTTTTCCGCAGTTCAAGTCTTTGGAAATACTTTTCAGAGACCGTGTAAGTCATGTGACCAATGCCAATTAGGACTGGAATTTAGACTTTTTACTCAACCAGAAATCTATACATGGAAAACAGTTTTCAGAGGGGATGTTCTAATCCAACAGCTTTCAATGTCCATGTTATCAAGGGATGTGAGATCACAAAGCTCAATGTTACTATCAACTTCAGATGTTGTTAAAAAAAAATATGAGAATTCCTGACTTTGTTTATAAATGTACAGCTATCCCCTCCCCCCATGGCAGGGCATGAACTCGCTACTAACCCTTCTCCACCATTTCTCCATCCCCAGGCACTGTCATCACGCACGCATTTACAAGATACCCACTGAATGCCATCTCAGTGGCTATGCCATGTAGCAAAGCCAGCTGAACCTACTGACAACTGATTTTCACTGAGAGTAGCAATGTGGATGGAGAGAAATAGACAAACACAGGATAAGTCATCTAATTTGAGGTCAAGTCTGCAGGGCACTATGGCACTCTCACTTCAAGTCTCTGTTGAAGCCAAACTCTCATGAAAGAGTACCTAAGGAAGGAAGAGAAAAATAAACGATATCAAGCACATTTACCGGAAATGGTGTTTCAATATTGATAAAGGTTTAGATAAGAATTTAAGATGATCCCACTCCATTAAATCCCCTAGCACTCTCACCCTCTCTCTAAAATCTTTCATAATTGTACTAGTTTTTCATGACATCAAAAGTCAAAACAGCACAAGTTGCTTATGGTATAAATGCTGGAAAGTATCTCCTATCTCCTATTACTTGAAGGACTTACACAGGATTTAGACTTCCACATGTAAAATGATCGTGGCCTCTTTTCAAGGCTTTTAGAGTATAATTTTCACAAATTGGTTGGCCCACCAGAGTAATTAAATTAGAGAATAGTTCATATACTGTTTACTGAGTTTTGGTGAAGGTTTATCCTGTGCATTTGAATGATAGGACAAAGTACTATATTGCAGAGTTCAAATATCCCTCACTGTCCACCTCTGCTCTAGTCCTACTTCTAGCCTTTGGAAGTAGGTGTCTCCTGTGTCCTGATGCCAGTTGTTCTTCAGCTTTTGATCACGTCACCATTCCCCTATAACTCTGGCATTCCCAGATTCATTTTCCAGGTCAAGACAAACTTCGTGGTCATCTGTCAAGAGAGCCTGCTCAAGGCTAGCTTTTGTTAGTATTTTATGTCCCTGTTCTCCAATTTTCCTGCACTCTCCCCTATCATGTGGATACTATCCCTCACATGAATTTAAAATACTCTTTCACTCACCTTCTCTTCTAAAGCTTTTAAGTTCTCTAATGCATGTATAAGTATGGGTATAGATGATAGTACTCAAAATGTACACGGGTTTTCTGAAATATATTGACATTTTATTAGTTTTATTCCAGAGAAACACATGTAGCCAAATTACAGATTACATTGCTATTGACATTAGATAGAGAATTCCACCATGTAAGACTTCGGAGGTTTAGTACAGTAGTTTGTCTTGATGGCCTCATGAATACAGTCACTATAGTCAGTATTACACTTGCCACACTTACAGCTTACAGCTACAGGGTAGGAGAAATAAGGAGTAACATGGTGTGGACACCCAGGTATTTCTATAGTCTTGTATATGAAGTCTCTATATGTACAAACATCCTGGGACAAAGCATATTTGGGAAGAAACAGCTTGCCGTTGATATCCTGAGGACAGAACAGAAAAATGAGCATAATGTGATAGGACTTTAGGATACATGCAGAAAATGGAAACAGATAAAAAATAATTCACATATACTCCTTTGTCACAAATAGGACCAGGGAAAGATTCCTTAGCCTCATTCCCCAATACATCCACTCTGAATCCCACAGAGACAAAAGTGACTCCCCTCTGTTATCCTTCATCAGGGGGACAAGATGAGGTTAAAATGAATTTGGATGTAAAACTGTTATAAGTTTATCTGTACCCTTGTGCACATAGCATTGTAACCTGTGTTTTCTACCTCTAAGGAGACAATAACCATGGGAGTCAGAATATGAGGCTATGACTCATCTCATTTCCTTTCTGGATAGGAATGAACTGAGTCTGGGTTTATCTAACTTACAGCTGAAAGAAGTGAGATGAACGACATACCCGTGTCATGCAATACCCAGCACAGATGGTGGTATTGATGCTCAGGCAGTAAGCACACTCCTTCCTCTCGACATGCATAATATACTCAGTTGGAATGCAGAAAGACATTGCTTGGCCACAGGCAACGCCAAGCAGCACAGACATCAGGAAGATAGCAGTCATGCTAAATCAAAGATAAAATTAAAGAATATATTATATGTGTCCTTTAGGACATTCAGAAGGGACTAAAATATATTTTAATATGTGTGTATATAATAAACATACTTATGTTTATGTGTATATGCTTATACACATATGTGTATAAGCAATAATAACATCTACCTTTTATTGAATGCCTATTTTGTTCTAGGCCCTATATTAGGTGTTTTTACATAGTTAATATTCTCAATCGCCTTTCCATGCACACTTAGATGTGTATATGATCCACATACCCCACATAAGGGAGTAAGAACCCTAGTAAAGGTCCTTGCTTGCAAGTGCTACTTAATTCCACTGGGCAGTGAAATGGCAAGCTCGAATCACCGCAACAGAAAAGTGAGAGAAACATATATGTCAACTAAGTATAACACAATTTATTCATGGAAACAATCCAAATTCTGCCTCTATGATTATAAGGAGTTAACAATTTGCCCTTAGCAGAGGTTTTTCCAGAACTATATTTTTCTTAAAAAACACTTTGGTGCAATAGCTTAAAATGCCAACAAACTTGTTATAATAAGAAGGGCAAAGAAAATTCATAATCAAACTTCAGTACCACCTTAATGCAAATCATTCTGCATATAATTCTATTCATTTGCTGTCAATGAAAGTATGATGAAACTGGAGAAAATCCAGAAAGGTGACCAAAATTATCACCAGTGTTAAAAGGCTAACCCAGAAATCTAGGAACCCCACATCACCACCCTTAGCATTGTTTCTATAGGGTTGAAAGAAGTAGAATTGGGAAAAGTAAAAAATTATTTTATTCAGAAGATGCATCAAACTTGTTAACTTGAAAAAATTATAGCAGCAAAAAACATAGGTTGACACCATGAAAATAATGCAACCAAGGATGACAGATACACTGTGGGTTGGCCAGGGAAGTGAACTAAGTCTTGGCTGCATGGAAGACAACAGAGGCTCCACCATGCCTTAGGCAAAGGAGAACATGTATCTCAATAGAACCCATCTTATAGTTTGTATCAATATTAATTGGACAACATAATGAGTTGAATAATGTTATGGCATAATTATTTTGTTGTGCTACTCAGAGAGTAATCAAGTTTCAGATTTTTAGATGTAAATTGATCACCTCAAAGATTAAGAAGATTTTTTCACTTACAAATATTGCATAGCTAGGTATATTTGGATTTTTTTCCATCTCAAGTTACATTATCAGAAAAGAAAATACTGTCTTAATGGAATAGTATTGTTATCTTTCAATATAAATTTCTTTGCTTTTTCTACTAAATAAATCACAATTCATTAAAAATTTTTATTTAATCAAGTGTCAAGATTTCCTCAAACCTGCCAATTATGTCCCAATAGCATCTTTAAACTACACACATGAAAATCTCCATTTATTGAAATCTCATACACTGTATTACTTAAACAGAAGTTTTCCTTCAATCAGCCTATAAAAAAAATGAAAACTACGTTCAACAGGCTATTTTAAATGTCAACTATCAGCGGTTAGTGGTTATTCCAACATATCTCCTATCCCTAGGATGAGAACTGCAGATATACTAGATAAACATTTATCAAGCATTCGAACCAGGCACTGAGAGCTACAAAATGGTTAAGCTATAGTCCTTGACCTCAAGAGTTGACAGTCTATAGGAGAGGATTCATGTAATCACAAAAAATAAAAATGCACATAGTCCTGAGTGCTCTGAAAGAACCCAAATTATGACTCTAAGCTCCACAATTAGCAAAAATTTCTTCTGTGGGGCCTCCCTGGTGGCACAGGGGTTAAGTCTCAGTACTATCACACTATTACCACTGTGGCCTGAATTTGATCCCAGTTCAGGGAGCTGACCTACATGGCGCAGCAGACCTCTCCTGTCTCATCTGCTGCTCCCCTCAGCAGTGTATTTCAGTAGATCTGCCTATTCTGCTCCCCACTCTGTCTCTGGTGAATTCTCTCACCCCTTGCACCTCTGACTTATACCCCAATTCTTCTGTGCATAAATAAATAAATCTTTAAAATAAAATTTTCTTCTGTATTCAAAGAAAAATACTATACCATTAGAAAGGGTTTTCTAGTGAATTCTTTTAAAGAAAATGTTGCTTATTCCAGCATTCCTTGGATATATTTGGTATTTCAATTAGGGAACAAAAATATAAGAACTCCTTGCTCTCTGAAGCACTTCACAAATGTGAGTTCCCTCTGTGGAACAGAACTGGTCCCATTATTTTGGAGGATCCTCTGCAGGATCTTTAAAATATTAACAGAGTAGATATATAAAATACTCAACCAGCATATCATATGGTTCTTGCCTATCTAGCCAGTCAGTTACTGGGTTTTTGCTATAGGAAATAATGAACCTCATATATTCCAACTTTTAACTCCATGATTCTACAAGAAATAAATATGTGGTACCTAGTAGCAAGACTATTGGTCCTGAAGTTAAGGAACAAAATTCTATTTCACAATCTCCTGTGCAGCTATGAGAAATAGATTAAAATGTTTGGATCTGATTCCCATTTGTAAAACAGAAAGAGCAAGAACACCTGACTTGTTTTAAAATTGTAGAATAAAAACTATTAACCACTTTTATCCATTGTCATATTCTTATAAATATATATAAGATGATATAAAAATGTCATCTTATAAATGTAAAACTATAATCTAACAAAATGGAAAAATAAAAGTACTAAATTATCAATAGTAACTATGTAATTTTGTATATAAAAAGAAACTGATACTAACTTTCTCTTTTATTGCAAATATTAAAACTTCACCCATTAAATCCTTCCGGGCCTCAATTTCCTCACATATAAAAAGAAGTTTTAAAACCAAAGCATAATCAGGAAGTTCTTTTAATCCAAGCAGTCTGTGATCCTATATGATAAATTAGTGTCAGATGCCTGGTCTAAGAGTTAGTGATCTTGAATTCTGCTTCCAGATTTCACTGCAATTATATATAACTGAATAATTTAGTATCTTTGTACCTTCATTTTCCCATCTATTCCTTCCTAAAATCTCAAAAATAAAAACAATATGTGGTAAGTTCTTGAAGAACTCCACAGAAGTAAGGCTATGTAACTATATAACACTATATAAATCAGCATAGTTAATACCTCCCTAGAGGATCTGCCTTAATTTCTCCTTTACCGTCACTTGGATTTTCTCATCTCTGCAACTAAATTGCATCTTTTAAAGTCATTATAGTGATTTATTGGGTACCTAAACACAGAAGTCAAGATATCAGGTCCTAAAAAATGAGGGAGGCTATTTTCAGTGGCATCATATGTACTTACACCTTGAATGCTTTTCTTTATTCCAAAATTTTTCTTTCCTTCTCTCCTTTTTTTTCATTATCTTCATTTTCAATAAACACATTTTTCTCTGCTCTACTAATTTTCCTTGCCAATATTTTCTCTCTGAATCTTTTACTATACTATGGAGTCAGTTGCCTATTTTATGAATAACCAAGAAACTTCACTAAAGCATGTATTTTTCTAAAGAACAAATTGTACAAGGCGTGTGTGTATCGGACACTTCAAGAAGAGTTCAGCGATAAACAACTAACATTATACAGAGTAAATTATCCCTGCAGGTACTCAAACTGAATTTACCCTAAATTTTCCCAAAGGTATATTACCATCAAAATGACCATTAGTAATTAACAGGAGTTAATGAACAGATTATTTCATTTATCAAATCAGTCTTCATTAGGAAATTAACCAGATGCTCCTCTTTCTTTAAGACAATAGCATTTTTCCATATCCTTATATATGTAGTTCATTTACTCTCACCCATTATTGAGCAATTTTGGAACAATAATTACAATTTTTAGAGTCTATTAAAGCAAATTATCACTCAGCATTTGTCACTTTTAAATAAATGCTAATGTGGTTAAAAAGGAGGAAAATTAGAGCATTTCATTTCTCAGCTTCTCATGTAGACACCTACCTGACTGCATTGGTGAGCTGATGCTGTGATGACCCAGACTAAAAGCTCTTGGTTCATTTTATACCCTTCAGGATAATTCCTTTCTGATCTTCTTGTTTATATAATTGCATTTGAATCACTGCTTTCTTATCTGAAAAACATCTTTTGAAAATTCATACTGAATCCCAAATGAAATGTGTTTAGATAAACAATTTCACAATATCTTCCTCAGGAAACTCTGACATTATTACAGCATGAATTTTCCCTTCTCGCATTTCAAAGTAAAATTACCCTTTTAAATACATCCTTTAATAATATTTATTAACATTAGCAAATGACATATACAGAAGGAGAAAAAGACATTTAAAAAGAAAAAACCATTTGCTTCAGCTAAGTAAATCTTAGGAATGAAAGTTTATTTGGGGTTTGAGTGTCCCAAATTTTACTTAAATGTTCATTTAGAGATATGTAAAATTACTGTTCATCTACAAAGCAAAGGCAATTCCTTTATAGCTATCTAGGGCAATTAATTAGTGAAATTTGTTTATTATTTTTCCTTTGTATTTAAAAATTAATAAAGTTTACAGATGTGAAAAAAATGTTAAGTATATGATCAAATCTCACAGGATATTAAACTGATAGGAGAGCAAATCCTGGCTCTGCCACTTACTGGCTGTGTGACACTGCATGCAGGAGCTCTCTTACTACAATTTCTTCATCTATTTAAAGAAAACATCAGTGTTCATGTACAGCACTTAACACAATGTCTGGTATATAATGAGGGCTTAATAAATTATAGCTAATTTATATTAATCCAACATTTTTTTTTACCAAATAGTCACAGTGCTTACTAGGCAGTCATTATATTTGTTGAATGTACAAATAGCTGAGGGAGTGAATGAATAAATATTGAATTTTTGGAACCAACATACACTTTTCTTATCTCTATAGCTATCACTCTATTTTATCTCTTCCAACCCATTTTCCTCACTGTAACTAAAGCAATATGCCAAATACTCAGTGAAATTTCCTATTACCTAAGAAAAAAAGCCCATAGTTTCATTTACAAAATCCTTCATAATTTGTTTTATATTTCTCATTTCATCTTTCATCACCTCTGACTCTTTATCTTCCCTGCTGTGTCTCCATTTTCTATGTTCTGCAGACAATCTGAACTAAGTTCCTCAAATTAGTTACCTCCTCTCTTGCCTCCAAGTCTTTTCATTTGCCATTCCCTCTCTGGGACATCTGTCTGGTCCTGCACCACTCCATGCCCCATCTCACTTAATTCCTGCTCAGTTTTCACAATTTACTGAGAAAGCATCCCTTCTGCAAAGCCTTCTCTGATTCCCCAAAGCCTTCCTCATGGTTAGTGGTTTTAAGAGATTTAGAGAAAATATATAAAACATCTGTCACAAGGCAGATGCTCCATAAATCATAGATATTATTATAGATTATCAACAACCCCATTAGTCTTCACTTATCCTAGTCTTTGTTGTTAATGAGAGTTAATGAAAAAAATTAAGACTAGTATAGGCAAATCTCTCTAGAGGGGAAATTGAGAGGTTAGGAAGAATCTGGGATGTATATCAGGTATAGCCATGTTTAGGGGCCCCTGAGTCTTGGGAATATGAGCTATTATGCAGTAAGAGAAGAACTCTGAAAACAGGGCAAGTGGAATGGAGGATGCCAAACGTAAACTTTTTCATCTGATCCAGGCAAGATGTTAAGTTAAAAGAGTACAAAGTAACTGTGAGGATATTAGGTGCTTGTTTCTACTGAAACCAGTGCCTCCAAAACAAAATTATTAATTCTGGAGCTCAGTTTCTAGCAAAACATATATATATATATATTTTTTTCCCTAAGAAATACATATATACACAACAGGGAACTGATACACACTTGACCTATTGCTAGAGGACAATAAAAATCATATATTTGGGTAATAATTTTATTTTCATAGGTATTTTCATGTATATGCTCTCATACTGTTAAAAAGATTTATGGGACCACCCCTGAGGGGAGAAATCAAATATTGTACCAAAATGAACAACAGTGTAAGAAAATAAAAACTTTAGTCAATAAAAAAAGACTCCAGGCAGATTGAACTTTCACTTCTTGCCCAGATATAATGTCCCCTCTAAATAACAATAAACAGTACAAATATATTAAACGTTGGTTCTACACACATTGCACCTTAGGCAAGAAGCCAAAAAGCGATCTCAGAGAGACAGGGAACAAACAAGGGAAGCACAAGTTACTGCCTTGAGAAAGTTTCTGATCCATGGTGCAGGGAGAGGCATCAAAGCCTCTGATTCTGATTAACAAAGCATAAAAGCTAGATCCAAAAGGATCAACTGTTTGCAAGTCACATAACTGAGTCAAAGAAAAAAATCTGAAAAATATTTATATGAAAACAGTAATTCTGGTAACTTACAGGGTATAATCCACAATATGTGGCATTCAATAAAAAAAATTAGGCATCCCAAGAAGCAAGAACATACAAGTCATATTGAAGAGAAAACTAATTGACTGAAACTGACTTAGAAATGGGAACATTAACTGAATCAGTAGAAAAAGAACATTAAAATGACATCATCAAAATACTGCAATAATTTTTCATTAACTGATTACAAATCAGTCGTCTTTGGTTTTGTTCATCTTTTTCTAGTTACTTGAGGTCAGAGATAAGATTATTTACTCGAGCTCTTTTTACTTGATATGGTCCTTTATTGTTATATACTTCCCTGTTAATACTGCTTTTGCTGTGTCCCATTAGTTCTGGTAGATTTTGTCCTCATTTTCATTTGTCTCAAAATATTTTTTAATTTTTTCTTTGACTTTCTCATTAACCCAATAGTCATTCAAAATGTGTTGTTCAGAGTCCACATATTGGAGTCTTTTCCTGTTTTTGTGGCTGATATTTAATAACATTATGATCAAAGATATTGTGATTTCAATCTTAATAAATTTATTGATTTTCTTTTGTGACCCAACTATGTGCTCCATCCTGGAGAATGTTCCATTTGCACTTAGAAGAATGTGTGTTCTACTTTTTTGAGGTACAGTGCACTTAAATGTCTGTTAAGTCCCTGTGGTCACATTTTTTATTTAAGGCTATAATTTCCTTGTTTATTTTCTCACCAGTTGTTCTGTTCTTTGGTGAAAATGGGTGTTACAATCCCTAGTCACTACTGTGTTGGTACCAATGTCTGTTTACAGATTTGATAATAGTTGCCTTATATATTTTGATGACCCATTTTCAAAGGGAATAAAAGCCACTCAGAATCTCCAATTCGCTAAATAGTGAAGTATAACTGGAATATGAATCAGCCTAACTAATATTCTCCCCTCCCCAAAGAATGGGTATTTTTCTAATTTACAAAATACTTGGCTTCTATAAAATTCTAAAATCCAGTGCAACAGGCTCTTAAAATCTATTAGTTTAGGGCCTCCCCGGTGGCACAAGGGGTTAAGCACCACACTATAAAGCAATCCACAGCCTCTGCAGCATGGGTTCAATTCCGGGTCGCCAGAGAGATACCCACATGGCGCAGCAGACCTCTCCTGACTCGCCCGCTGCTCCCCTCAGCAGTGTACTTTGGTCAATCTGTCTGTTCTGTTCCCCACTCTGTCTCTGATGAATCCTCTCACCCCCCACATCTCTGGCCTGTACCCCAGCTCTTATATGCATAAGTAAATAAATCTTAAAAAAAAATTAATTTATCTATCTGAAGACTGAGTGATTTGTGTCATACTAGAATAATCTGCCATTTGAAATGAAATCTGTTCATGAAACTTCTTTTGATGTCTTTTTTCTTAAAACAATACAGATCATTAATAGCAAATAAAGTTGAATCTAATGAGCATATTGATCTTGAAGCTTCCAACCAGATAGACAAAATTGATCTAATAGTTATAAAAATTATCAATTTGCTTCTTTCTTTTGGTAATGGATTAATTTAGCTCCTAATGTGCCAGATTTATATGAATCTACATAAGCTTTTGCCATTTATTTCAAACATTTTTGAAATTAAGGTCATATATAAATATTAATAGAAATCGTTAACATCATCTATAATAAAATTCATAGTGTTACAAAGTCAGATCAGTATCACTTTTCTTCCCTGTAAAACAAAACTTGTTTCTCTATCCCTTAGTATAATATCTTTTACTCTATTTTTGTTACTTTATATAACCTCTGGTAATTAGATATTATTCCTCCATCTGAATAATAGGAGCAGTATTAACTGTACTCAGAATAACAAGTATAACCACTTCTCAGCAACTAACCAACATTATGTTATTAATCTCATCAAAAATTATCTTAACTTTCTCACAGTATTTTTTTGTTGGAAACACCAACCTCAACACAACAATTCATGGTAGAAAAGCATACCATAAATACGGAACTTCTTGCTGGGGAAAAAAGGCTTGTGCCCCTATCAGGTCACCCAACAGCCAGGACCTGCCCCAAAGAGACAAGCCCCAAAAAATCTAGCTAAGGAAAACAAAGAGGCTGATGTGAAAGAGAACCATATGACTGTGGGAAATAGAGATTCTGTACTTAAAGGACTGAACACAAAACCATTTGCTCCAAGATCTAGCAGAAAAGTAGACTGAAGTCTACGAAGTGTCCAAGAACAAATGAGTGGATTAGGAAGATGTGGTATATACACACAATGGAATACTACTCAGCTATTTAAAGGAAAAAAAAAGTCATGCAAAATGTGTTGTTCAGTGTCCACATATTAGAGTCTTTTCCTGTTTTTTTTAAGATTTATTTATTTATACAAGAACTGGGGTACAGGTCAGAGGCGCGGGAGGGTGAGAGAATTCACCAGAGAGAGGGGGGAACAAAATAGGCAATACAGGAGAGGTCTGCCTGCGCCATATGGGTTTCTCCCTGGCCGGATGGAGTCGAACTCATGCTGCAGAGGCTGCGGACAGCTTCACAGCACAGCACTCAACCCACTGTGCCACCAGGGAGACCCCTTTTCCTGTTTTTGTGGCTGATATTTAATAACATTGTGATCAAAGATATTTTGATTTCAATCAAAAAATGAAAAAATGTTTACTTTGTAGAATATGCTTTTGTCATGGAATACATTTTCAATTTTTATTTGCATGATTTATACACTTAATATATGCATTTGCAACATGGGTAGAACTGAAGGGATTATGTCAAGTAAAATAAGTCAGAAGGAAAAAGACAAATGCCAGATAGTATCATTTCTATGTGAAATATAGAACAAAAACAAAGACTCAGATAATACCAAGCCAATAACAAACCTTAAAAATCTGACTGTAGGGCCTCCCCGGTGGCACAGCGGTTGAGCGCTGGGTTGCGAAGCTGCCTCTGCAGCGCCGGTTCAATCCCCGGCTGTTCCCCGGCCCCCGGAGGAGGGTCCCACATGGCGTGCAGACCTCTCCTGCTGCCCGCTGCTCCCCTCAGCAGTGTACTTCGGTCCTTCTGCCTGCTCTGCTCCCCGCTCTGGCTCTGGTGAATTCTCTCACCTTCCTGTGCTTCTGACTGTACCCAGTGCTTGCATAAATAAATAAATAAATCTTAAAAAAAAAATCTGAGTGTATAACTGAGGCTACCAGAGGAGGAGGACGATAGAGGAAAGCAAAATGGGGAGGGAGCACAATGGACTGTGGGAGAGGACTATGGGTGTCTTGGTGATGAGCATGGTGTAGTGACATACATCAGAAGGGTGTGATCCTATATCTGTAAATCATAGGCAATGTTGTAAACTAATGTTACCACAATCCAAAAAATAAAAAGATTTTACACAGCAAAAGAAAACATAAGACAATTAAAAAGACACCTCATTGAATGGAAGAAAATATTCGCACAATATATAATGTGAAAAGGGATTAGTATCTGAGATATATTTTAAAAATTCATACAACTCAACAATGACAAAAAAAACCAACCCAATTAATAGGCTGCAAATAGGAACTGAAAACTTACCCTAGGCGATCCAGAAGACAGACGTAGGAAAAAATATTCATTGTCACTTCTGTAAGAAAAAGTCAGGTTAAAACCACAAAAGATACCACCTCACATCCATGAAAATGGCATATATTAAGACCCCCAACAAGTGTTCGAGAGCATACAGAGGAAAAAGGAACCCTATTATATTGTTCAACCTTAGGAATGTCAACTGGTACAACCATTATGGAAAGCAATCTCGATTTACCTTTAAAAAACTGAAAATGGGAATACCCTATAACCCAGCAATCCCACTCCTGGGCATATTTCCAAATACCATGAAACCATACACACAAAAATCCAGATGTTCTACAATGTTCACCGTAACTATGGCATGGAAGCAGTTAAAAATCTACTGACAGACAATTAGATGAAAAAGATGTATATCCACACTATGGAGTACTACATAGCCGTAAGTAAGGCTGAAATGCAGCCATTTTCAACAAAATGAAAGGAGTTTGAGAGAAGTTAGTGTACTAAAAAAGTGATAAAAACAAATACTGACATTTTTATAGCAGACAATTAGATAATGTAACAAAACACTTTGAAAAATTGGACATCAATAAACACCATTGAAGGCTCTGAGGGAGTGAGGAAGGAAAGGCACAAGAAAATATACGGCACAAGGGGAGGGAAGGCAGTATATAAATAATAATAAACTAAATACACAAACATAGAAAACAAACAAAAAAATACTAAATCTAGAGGTGTGGAGTCTCTGTTTAGATGCTAACTGCATTCATGTGAGTAGATTTTATCATACCCAGGTAAATTCTATAGGGTGAGAACAGAAGCTACTCCTTGATCCAGGCCAGAGGAATACTAGGGTTGGGGAAACAAAGAAGCCTGCAGGATAGAGAAAAGTGCAACAAATGTTAGGTGATCAAAAATATTTATGGAATGAGTAGAATGAAGATATACTAAAAATTATTCCTGTTATCACCACTTCAGCAGGTATGGCCTCCAGTACTTTGCTTACATTATTATTCAGTTCTTACAATAACTCTGCAAGAAATATAATCTCTGATAGATGATTAGGTATTTACCATCACATGAAAAAAATTGTTTACTTTGTAGAATATGCTTTTGTCATGGAATACATTTTCAATTTTTATTTGCATGATTTATACGCTTAATATATATTTCCACACCAGTGATTTCATATTTTTACTATCAATCCTAGAATATACTTTCAACTTTTATTTTCATAATGATTTGTATATTTAATATATACTGCCACAGCCATGATTACATATTTTTACTATCACTCCTAGGCAACATCTATTAAAAATCTTAATATACAGAGGCCCATGAATTCCAAAATTAATCACTTATCCTACAGAAGTAAAAGCACTAACAGCATTGCTCTAGTGCAGAAAACTAAAAACAAAGAAAATTCCCAAGAACTCAGTTAAGACAGAGTAGGTTATGCCAACAGTAACAACCGAAACTCTCAGGGACTATCTTACTCATTCTAATGACCATGATGGGTTAATGGCAGAACTTTAGTCCATGTAATTGTCATTCACAGATGTAGGATCACAAACTGCTGCAAGGGGAAGATTGTGATAGAGCCTCACACTATTAATCAAACACTCTGGTACAGAAGTAATTAATGCACATAACTTCTACCTAAAATCCATCACCAGAATTTATCATCTAACCTTACCAAGGTGGGAGGGGAAGTGTAATCTTCTCAAGAGCCTGGAAAGAGAAGGGCTGGATATAGGTGATCATAAAAGTCTCTACTGTCTCTACCACACACTTTAATAAACAGCTAGTTATGGCACATCCATAAAATATTACATAACTACTTAAAAGAATGAATTGGAACTTTGATTTTAGAGAGATTTCCATGTTAAGTGAATTAAACAAGACTCTTAAAAGTATATATATATATATATATATATATATATATATAATCTCATTATTGTAAATTAACCATGACTAGAGAATTCTGTGTGTATGCATATGCATATGTTAAAATATAACTAATTAAATACATTATATCTATCTATTCGTTATGGAGAAAAACAGGGAAGGATATACTCTAGATTCTTGTCAAGGGATACCCAGAAGAGGTGAATTTGGCAAGGGAAGTCCTGATTTGTGTGGAGAGAAGAGAATGAGGGAGAAGGCATAAGGAAATAAAGCAAAGGCACCAAAATTTAATATAATTCTACTTATGTACTGATATAAATTATATATATACATAAATTATTTTTAAAACTTTTAACTTTGCTTTTTTTTTTTTAAAGATTTATTTATTTATTTTATACAAGAACCAGGGTACAGGCCAGATGCGTAGGAGGGTGACAGGATTCACCAGAGACAGAGCAGGGAACAGAGCAGCCAGACTGACAAAATACACTGCTAAGGTGGAGCAGCGGGCGCAACAGGAGAGTTCTGCAGTGCCATGTGGGACCCTCACTGGTCGGCAGGGATTGAACCAGCCCTGCAGGCTGCAGACAGCTTCACAGCATGGCGCTCAACCTCCTGTGCCTAACTTTGATTGCTTTTCTGGAACTTAAAAGTACTGAAATTATTTTTTCAGTTCTCTCCAGCTCTAACCTCTATGATTTTATAACTTTAAATAATGTTATCTTGTCTCCTATTTATCATTCCTATTTCTATCCCACAGCTGAGCTGACCCTCATTAAAGTTCACATTGTACTACTATAGCCTTGGACTATTAATTATAATAAATAATGTATTTCTAACCTTTATATCAACCAAAGCAACTTGTTCTTTGACATCATAAATTTACATTTACATGAAGCAGGAGATATTTTATTACTGCTAGAGTGATAAAGTTGTGGATATTTTCTTAGGACAAGTATTAAAGTTAATCCAAAAGTCCAAAAGGACTAATCCAAAACATAAACATTCAGCCTACAAAATTTTCCCTTCTCTCATCAGGATTACTTAAAAAGCTGCAATAGCCACATCATGTTCCAATTTACCCTCAATGACATTTTTTAAAACATCTTTTTTTCCAACTGGGGGATGGATGATAGCAGTTATGAGAACTTACACTTTTTGTAAAATTTAAAACACCTTATTTTAAATAATAAAGCCTTATTTTCTTGCTTAAATTCATTCCATTCAAAACCAAAAAAAAAAAAAAAAAAAAAGCCCAAATTTTGCAACATAGCACAAAACATGATATGAAGAGACCATGGACTGGTTCTGTTAACTGCTCATCTCATCCCTTATACTGCTATTTTTTCCACCTTGACTTTCTCTTGTCCTTACACCTGTAGCATTCTTACTTATGCCCAAAACCACCTCTTCCAAGACTCCTGAGTTGCCAAGAAATAAAAGGCTCATTTACATCATTGTATCTCTTACACTTATATATGTAGAATTACTTTATGATTCATTTGTTTATATATTTTTGTTTGCTACTTGACCTGGAATCATTGAAGGCAGAAATTATGTATGTATTATATAGATAACAGAAGTCCAACTACTCATTTTATATTTTTAGAAGCAGGCAGTCCCAGTCAGAAATATTTGAAATAGATCACTCCCTTCTTAAACCACTTGTTCTTTGGGCTTCTCTGATCCCTTATACCCCACCAGTCTCTCCTTCTTAGTCTTTGCAGCAACTCTCCAATCCTTGGCTTTAAAATGTTCCAGAACCTCCAAGGATCAGTACTAATTCTTTCCTCTTCTAAAACTACATTCTTACTCTCAGTAATGACAGCACATTCAGTCCTATATTTTAAATATCACGTATATGCCAATGACTAAATACTGACTCTTCGGAAGAACTCATGAATCATTTGACCAATGACCTACTCAGTGTCTCTTAGATAACTAATAGGTTAGGTATATTTGAGATACCTCAAATATTACAAAGCCCAAAATAGAACTTCAAAATCCAACTTTGTACTTTGTTTCCCTCACCTTATCTCCAACCAATCTGTCAGCAAACCTTTTTGGCTCCTTATCAAAATGTATGTCAAATACGACCTCTGACTGAGTCCCATTTCTCAATCTAATGGAGCTGTTATTTGCTTTTTTTTTTACAGCCAATATTTAACTGAGTCCCCCTCAGTCCAAGCCTTTTTAGAGCCTATATCCTACAGATACACAGACACACAGTAAGGTGTTCAATTCTTGTTTCAAAGCTTATACATCATTCACTTAAGACCCAGAACCTCCTACCCATTTCTAGAGAAATGGTAATTCATGGAAAAAACAAGGCTACAATAGGTTACAATGACACACCAAGTGGTAATTTCTGTGGAACTGTTCAGAGCAGACCCACCAAAGCCACATTAGAGATACAAAATTAGTATGCTATTTAGCTCCCCTAAATTTCACACTATTTCCCTCTCAATGTATCTACCCTATTCATCAAAATACTGAGATTTGCTAATACTCTCCTGAATTAAATTTATCCCCTCACTAGAGGACCATCCATCTGCAGTGGCAAAGACTACTCTGTAAAACACAGCATGCAGTAGATTACATGCCCTCTAAGGCAGGAAGCTCCGTGTTTAAGAGAGACGAGGCTGGGTCCCATACCATATGTCCAGTTTCTCCTAAACTCATCAGATTAATTCATGCCTTCAAAGAGTGACTAAAGAGCATGAGGAGTTTCCTTCCAACCTAAAAATGGGTTATGACAAAAAGCTTCTTCCTATAACAATCTCTAAACTGCATTCAATTTTTAAAAAGGCATTAACTGAATAACTTAAAACAAATTTCCCATAATAATCAAATTATAAATTTGCAATTGTTCATTGCTACTATTTCAAAATATTTTAATTAATTTGTAGGATTTTTAAAAATTCTTCTGATAAGGTTACCACAAATGAATACACTGATCTCAAAATTTGCAGTAAGTTGTTTTTCTTACTCTAGTGTCTTTATGGGAATGGTATAAATGTAAAAAAAAAAATGAAATTTATTCTGTACTTGGTTATTAAAATTGACTCCATAGTCGCTACATGCAAAAGAATGAAGCTTGACCACTACCTCACACCATACACAAAAATCAACTCAAAATGGATTAAAGAACTAGACTTTAGACCTGAAACCATAAAATACATAGAAGGAAATATAGGCGAAACACTACACGACATGCACATCAAAGACATCTTTACAGACACATCACCCAAAGCAGTGATAGTGAAGGCAAAGATAAACAGCTGGGACTACATCAAATTAAAGAGCTTCTGCACAGCAAAAGAGACAATAACAAAGAGAAACCCCACCAACTGGGAGAACATTTTTGCACACAACACTAATGATAAAGGACTGATCACAAAAATCTACAAAGAGCTGATGAGACTCAACAACAAAGAAAATAATCCTGTCAAAAAAATGGGCAGAAGAGCTAAAAAGAAACTTCTCTGAAGAGGAAATGCAAATGGCCAACAGGCATATGAAAAAATGTTCAACATCACTTGTAATCAGGGAAATGCAAATCAAAACTACCATGAGATACCATCTTACACCAGTGAGAATGGCACATATTAAAAAAACTAGCAACAACAAATGTTGGCAAGGTTGTGGAGAAAAAGGAACTCTTCTGCACTGTTGGTGGGAGTGCAAACTGGTCCAACCACTATGGAGAGCTGTGTGGAGATTTCTCAACCTACTAAAGATAGAGCTTCCATATGATCCAGAAATTCCACTCCTAGGTATTTACCCAAATGACACAGAAACTTTAATTCCAAAGGGCACCTGCACCCCTATGTTTATAGCAGCACTGTTTACAATAGCTAAGCTTTGGAAACAACCCAAATGCCCAAAAATAGATGAATGGATCAAGAAGATGTGGTACATATACACCATGGAATATTACTCAGCAGTCAAAAAAGATAAACACATGCCATTTGCAGCAACATGGATGGCGCTGGAAGGGATTATGCTCAGCGAAATAAGCCAGAAAGAAAAAGAAAAATACCGGATGGTCTCACTCATAGCAGGAATCTAGAAAACTTAAATAAGGGACCAGGAAAATGAATAACTATAAGAAAGCGAAAATCAAAATCAACAAAAAACTATGAACCAGAGACACTATATGAGGGGTGGGGGCGGGGAGGGGAGGGATTGGGGTCAAAATTAGGGGGTTGCATTTGTATGGGGAATATAAAAATAAAATTTATTTTTAAAAAAATAAAATAAAAAATAAAAACATTAAAAAAAAATTGACTCCATAGCTCAAAGTGGAAGATTCAAATATAGGCTACTGTAACAATGTTTTTAACACTTGAATCATGTACTGAACAGTTTTGCTCTAAATTGTATCTACTGTAAGAATCATAGGTATGATATGTGTAAGTTTTTCTTAACTACATATTAGTATTTAATCAATCCAACAGATATGGAGTACCTACCGCGGGTCAGATATTGGTATAGTCACTCAGGATGTAGCAATAAGCAAAGCAGACAAAACTCTGTCTTTGTAAAGTTTACATTCTAATGAGGGAAAACAATAATCCTAACCCTGTTTCCCTTTTGCAGCAAACTGGGAAGCCAGTTGCTGAAGATGGCAGAAGTAGAAGTTACAAGGTGGCAGGGTTCCTGACACTGCCTTAGAGAATGCTATTCACTAAAATAGAAATATTTATTTTGGACTTTAGCTAAGTGAAATTTGATTAGCTATAGAAGCCAGTGATTCCCTAATACAATAATTTTATTTTAAAATGTTTCAAAACATAACTTCAAATGTGAAATATCACCTATCAACACTTATAATCCTCCAAAAATTACTTGCTCAAGAGACCAACATTAAAGTTTTAATTAAAAG